ATTTTTATATTTATATAATATTTTTGTTTTATTTCTTTATTGGCAGTCTCAATAAGTCCAATTGTTATTTTAATTCATTAGACAGTCTCAATAAGTCCTGTTATTCTTTTTAATAGTCATTAGTTTTATTTTAGTTATTATATTCTTTTTATTCAATTCCCCTCTTTACCCTTATTTTATTTTTAATAATAAGTTGGTTTGCATACAAGCTACTACAGGAGACCTTTAGAATCTTTAATGAACCCCATTAATCATAAATCATCCAGTCTTTGTTCTTTTATGATCGTTTGTTAATTCATTAGTTTCAACAACTCATGAATTGACGAGAACAGTATTCACAGAGATGTCAATCACTACGTGGCGTGGTGATTGATTTATACCAACATCCCGGTGAATAACTGATATTAAGCATGCTCGACACCCACGACTAAATGACAATTGACAAAAGAATATTATAAATTGATTATTTATAACGAATAATTTATAATAATAATTACCCATGGTCCACAAATCTCTTTAAACATCGAAATATCGCTCAATATGAAATTCATGAAGTTCATGTTTGATTAAGATTCTAGCATTGATAGGAATATGAAGTTTCTGAGAACTGCTATGTGACAAACGTAAATTTATTACTACTGTTTATTGAAATTTTTGTTAAATACTCGAATAATACAATTTCTCTCGATAATCACAAAGAAATAAAATATTTCTTTCTTTATAGTATCAAAATATATAAGTCTGTCGCGATCTATAGTATTTTATCTGATTCCTGTTGAAGTTTATGTCACACTTTAGAATAATTGGTTAAACTAGCAAAAAGCAAATATAAGATACCACTTTTCGTTAAAATTCTCGCAAGCATTAATCAAAATACATTACAAATATAGGCCTGAATTTTCCATTCTCATATTTTTTTAAATTTATGTGTATATAGATTTTCACAATTTAGAATTCCGACAGAAAATATAAGGTTTCGAATACTAATTTGTCTCTCTAAATTTTTTCGAATACCAAAATGTCTTAGCCAGTCAAATACTTGCAATAGACTACTGTTGATTCTCTGGATATATGAGAATGCCAAATTATTTGCTAATTCACTACATATACGGATTGCTTGCAACTCAAGTAAACTTATAGCTGTTATTCTGTAATAAATCTCTTGCCCTGGATAATTATAAAGAAATCTAAGTTGTGGATAATGAGCCACACTTTTGTCTTCATGAAAACAATATCAGTGAATAGACTAAATTCCTTCGTCATGAAAGAATTTTTTGTGTTATAATTTATTTCATATAGTATACTAATAAAATCGATAACACCAAATAATGAATTAATAAAATAAATAAAAAAATAATATCGATATTAATTAGTAAATTTCCTTTGAAATAAATTTATAATTAATATAAATGTAAGTTAATATTTGTTAGGCATACTCTTTTGCAATATCAATATCTAAAAAGACACAAGCCACTCAACTGGGTGGTAAATATAATAAAAATAAAACGATAATAGATATGATTTTGACGTAAAAAATCTGAATTTATAATAACAAACCCTAGTGCCAATAAAATTTCAAAGTTCCTCGACAGTTGGCTTGTTTTCTGGAGTAGAATTCCGATTTTTTAAATATAAATTTGCATAATTTGGGAACATTATTTGTACCTTAGATTATAGAAGATCTGTATCATGATTCCACTCTCGATTACCTTATTTTGCCATGTATAACCCGCCTGTAAAAATTTAAAAATGAAATTTAGCCAATTCAATTTTAGAAAAACCAATTATTTTCCTGCAAAATGAACAAACAAGATTCACAGTACACTTCATTAAAACTTTTGTTACTAAATTAATAACTTCGAGGTTAAATTTAGGTTTAAATTTATATAGGTAGTTGCTTATAACGGCAAAATATGATACATTCAACCTTAAAGTTATTAATTTAGTAAAAAAAATTTTACTGTAAATCTTTTTTGCTCATTTTGCAGAAAATAATTAGTTTTACTAAAATTCAATTGGCTAATCTCATTTTTACATTTTTACATGCGGTGTTGCTTATACCCGGCAAAATACGGTAATCGTTCACTTGTACAATATCCTACATCCTAAAATTATAACATCTGCAGTTTTAGTGGTTGCATTTATATCTGCTGGGCCAATAAGTCCAAACTCTGTAATTTCAGCATGTAATATTATATTTCCAAAACGATGTATCACCCCAAATGTTGATTATTTTTTGATGACGATGTACGATGAGTAAAGAGTTTGTTATAAATGTTTAATAAAGGAACACATCATTATTCACTGTATTTTTTGGTCGTGCGTGGATAAATTTTTATATTATTAAAACTTTTATTCATTTAAGCAAACAAACCTAAGCATTCTTTAACAGCAAATTTCTTGTTAGTTTTGTCTTTCAGAATGAAGAAAACTATTAGTGGATGCTACGAGAGAAAGTATGCATACAATTTGTATAATATATTTCTATTAATAATTTGAACTCACATCAGTTTTTACTCATTTGTTGGAAAAGCCTCAAAGATTATTACTGGAAAGGCAAAAATCTAAAGTATAGACTAAGAATTTTAAATAATAATGAAGAGAATAATTATGAAATTTTGGGTTTCAAAAATATCGAAGAAAAGGGAGAATTTGCTTATGTTGCGATTGATGGTAATTATTTAATTTTTTATCTTTACTGTTTTTTTTTTTTTTTAGAAAAACAAATAAATGTGAAGTATTTACGTACGTAATTTTCCAAGGTCAAATTGATCGTCCAAAATTGTTACCTTATTTTGATAATAGAGTCGTGTTTGACGAAAAGGTAAGTGAGATTATATTCAAATGTTTAAATGTCTCAGTAGCAAGATAAAAAATTTACAAAAGAACAGAAGATGAAGTGCTATTAATATTCTTTGTTTATGTTTTTATTTTGAATCTTATTCGAAATTATGACAGCTCCCAAACTTTACTTTAGAAACATCAAGTTCCGAAAGTGGTAGTGAATCCGAATATGAATTTCAAGAAATCCAAAAAAACGGTGATGTTATTTAAAATTTGTTTGCTCAAAATGCTCTAATAGTTTTATAACATATTCATTCTATCCATGTTTTATATAAATAATAACTAGATCGACCTAACTTTTCTAATTTCAATAAGCTGTAATTAAATTGTTCTCTTTTAATTCGCTTCAAGTTTAAATATTTTATGAATAATAATTATAAATAAGATTCATTACAAAAGTGAATACGAGGGAACCATGATCGATAGAAAATCAGAGCGTTACATCGGAAATATCCGAATTAGCCATTTATCCGGCAGCAGAACTAATGCAGAAAAATACATGTCTGTGTGAATATATGCTTTTTGAATATTTACTTTCAATATTGTTTTTATTTCTCAACGTTAATTATATTTTTGATATTAGTAATCACGTCAATAAATACAAACTTCTATGGTTAAGCACTCGTATCTCTTCTGAAAAAGTTGAGGAGTTATTACCGAAATCCTTTAATTACAAAACAATAATCTTTACAGTAAGTTCAAGCGATAGAAATGCGGAAAACTTTAGTAGACTTGAGTCAGAATTTTTTGAGGTTGTTCTTCGTAAAAAGGTACTGTTTTCTTTTCTTCTCTATTCGTTTGATTTATAATTTAAATTACTCTCAATATGTGTTAATTTAGTTTGGCATTCTACAAAACAATGGAGGATTCATCTTTATTGCTACCTCTGCCATGAAAATTCAGTGCTCTATTTTAAGGGATCGCTTAAAAAACAGCTATTACGGAAACATATTAATTTTGCCCATTATGGATATTAATGTTAAGAGTAATAATAATAATAAGGATCATAACAACAACAACGACAATAACAACAACAACAACAGTAATAATGATGATGAGATTCCACGACTACTTCAACAAATACGCACTTCTTCACCAAAAGTTGGCATCATCGCCGATTTTAAACTGAGATTATTGAGATTACTTAAGATATTACTTCATGCAAAACCCATTGAGGAAGAGGAAGATTTAGACCTAGATCTAGATGCGATTATTGTAAGGAAAAAATATCTTTCTGTATTAATATTCTTATAAAAATTATTTAATCTCTTGAAAATCTTAGATCGAAAAAGATTTATTGGACCATGCAAATAAGATGCGCAATTTGAATGCCTTAAAATTTTCAAATTGCTCTTTTATTTTGTATGATCCCCTTTCTTTAACTCAAAAAATTTTCCCAAAAGGTAAACAATACCTTATGAAGGCCTAAAATAAACTCACAAGTCATTGATTAATATTTTTTTTCAGGTGGTATAGTAGCAATTACTTCAGCCGCTTTGTTGAATACGGAAGAAGCCATTAAGCGCATCTTTGACATATTTGACCAAGTATGTTTAATTAACATTATAAAAATTCAGTTTTAAAAGCAATAGATCTAACTTTCGTTAATTTATCATAAAGCAAAAAATCATTCGTGACGATGGAAATTGGGATATGTTTGTTCACCCTGAAATAGCCGAAAATATTATTACGGCAAGACATGTAAATCTAGAAACAAGGTATCTATCTTTTATCTTTAGTTGAATTGGTCTTTTTTAAGTATATTAATTAATTATTTTGCCTAAAACATTAAAGACTAAATCTTCAGTTTGAAATAAAAGAAACCGCGAAACAAAATCAAATAAAAATATTGAACCGTTCAAGTCTTTTTGATGTAAGTGATGTTTTGTTTACACAGTTCACAAGATCATTACGTAGTTAACAAAAAATAACCATATACAGAAAGACCAACCAAATGAATCAAATAGCCTCTATGAGACTTTTGAAAAGATATACTCAAAAAACTTGCACAAAAGACGGTTTTTTGTTTTTATTGGTGATGAGAAAGAGATTCCTGTGTTTAGTTCGAAGAATATTGCAGCAGTGGGTATACAGAAGATGTTCTTGCAGATAAAGCTTGTCCGCTTTTTTTTAAAAAACAATACTGAAAATACTTTTTTTATAGATTGAGCAGATGACGTTTTCGAAATTTAGTATGGTTTTTGGAGCATAATCTAAATTTGAAAACTTTATTTGAAAGATGCACATACAGTAACTCAAAAATGTACGTATTCGTAGTGGTACATGTACTAATAAATTCTTTCAATATGCTCGTTTTTATACATTTGATGAAGTTGGAAGTCAAGTCGGAATATTTCTTCCAAAAATTCTAAATAATCTAATAGTAGCAGATTTGAACAACACCTCGAGCAGCTTATAATAAATCATTAATTACTCAAAGACAACAATAATCCAGAAAAATTATACACATTTATAAAAATAAAGCTTGAATTCACACTTATTTAGTCGGAATTCTTTGCGAATTTGGAAGCGGAACATTTTCTCGCACAACTTTAGCTCTCGGTTGTTATTATGAAGTAACTCGAATTGCCTATTAGAATTGTTTGGCTATCAATGAATTACACTCGATAAATGCTGAACTGGCAATAAAAACAACAGATACTAAAATATGGACAGTTACTACAATAGGAGCAATTTGTGAAAGAAAGTTGATGAGTTTAGATGCTACAGTGGTTGCCATAAGTATCCAGAATTTAGTTTTTTAGGTACAACTTTACGAAAATTCATTTAAAACATATGAAATTCCATATATATATAATATATGGTATGGGAAACAAGTTTATCTAATATCACAAACACACTTAAATTAATAAATTTTGCGTAAAATTATGCTAAAATTGTGAATTGGAACATTTTAATCCGCCACAATTATTTACTGATCCAATATATTAATTATATTTTTTTATAATTCTTTTAATATATAATAAAAG